GCACAGGCTATCGTGACTGTTCCGGAAATGAAACTACCCAACAAGAGTTGGAAAACCAAGAAGCTAGAAGTTCAGTGTGCCCAGTCCAACACAGGCCTGTGGTTGACTCTGTGATGCTCAGACATGTGATCTTCTGAGAGGAAACCCAGTTCAGGGTTATAACAAGAAGGCAAGCCTTGAAGATATTTTCTATGAACCCTCAAGCAGAGCTGGACCAATCAAAGGAGCTATAGACAGCTTTGGGGTCCACAGAATGCAATAGAGGCATAATTCAGGGAGGCCTGGGACCAGGCCAGTAATAGGCAAGAAGTTATGCAAAGTATATGGGATAGTTTCCAGTGGCTACCCCATATATCCTAGTGTGAAAACACAATTGGGGCAGCCACAGTATTAGAAGGACAGAAAGAGAAGAGGGGCAGTCAACAACACACCCCAAAGTTGTGAAGCTGCCTGCAGACTAGGGTGATGGGGCCGACTGTGTCCTCAGAGGGGCAGAGGACATGCTCAGCAAGTAGAACACAGCACAACACCTCCTTCCATTGAAGAAAGAATCATACAATCGGGGACACAAGTTGGGGTGGCCCATTCCCTCTCTTTTACCTCATCTTGGAAAGGGCACGAGGAGGAGGAATTTTTTTGTTCAACTTCTAAAAACTGAGTCAACCAACAGTGTGGGAACTGTCCTAGATGCAATATTTGTTTTCCATGGAAAATAACTTATACATTTTATTGTAATTGCTGGCAATTATACCACACTTCACAAATATAGACTGTTTTCAATGGTAAAAATCAAAGTTTCATTATGGAGTTGGGAATATGTGAGCCTATAGCTATATTTTACCTACAATGAAGTACTGCCACTTAAATCTCTGCCTGCTAGAATCAGTTCTAGGAATGGGATTCAACTATGGAGTGTGATTTACCATCCACTTACTCAATTAAAATAAAAGCAGGCACATTTATTCTTCGTTGGTCAGTGCCTAGCTGACTTTACTGCTGCCTGGAGTGAGGTGCACATTTGTTTCTGGAGCTGGGGCCCCAGGAACAGTGATGAGAGAAATAAACCCACAAAATGGAAGTCAATGAGCACAGTGATTTTAATATCGCATGTGATTGCATTTATCATAGTACAAGTCAGTGCTGTAATCAAGTAGGATCTATCCAAATGTCAAATGGATTTTGGTGCCTGTCCCAGCTGGCTAAGTCAAAACGCTGACAGCTTAGAATCAGCATCATTCTTCCACAATAAAAAAAATTACTGTAAATAATAAGACAGATAATGTGTTAGGCAAGTAAAGATAATGGAGATAAAACAGGTTAAGCAGAATGAAAATTCAGCAGTTTTGGAGTAAGCAGTCTCTGAAATTAGAATACCTTATGTGTTAAAAATATAACCTGACATTTTTATAACTTTGCAACTACAGCCTTAAATAAGCTAAAAGGCATAGTCATTTTCCTTAAATCTTAGTTATTTGCCTAATAAAAATGTAACGGATGAATAATAATACCAGATATGAAAAGAAATATTTAACAAGGAAATTCAAACTGAAAAAGAATCACATAATCCTTGAAGCACTTTTTAATGGCATGTGTTGAAGCGTGCCGGATGGTAGTGTTAGGAAGTCATTGTCACTGGCAGGATAGGATTGCAAAGATGCCCTGTGTGTCCTTGGGGGCAGAGAACAACAGCAGATGCTCCCAGAGGAAGCCAGGAATGTCCGCGAGTGGGGATCAAGTTAGCAAGGGGAGCTTAATGCAGAAATAGAAGGGATAAGCCGGCTTCCAAGGTCTGAACGGGACTCCAGTGAGGCCTAGGTGACAGCACCACCTCCTGTTGGCAGAAAACAATGCAAGTTTTCCAGTCCCAGTCATAAGCTTATTGAATCACAGGGGAAGGAGCTCACCAGTATAAAAACCCAAGTGCCTTTTCCATGAAATTATTAGTGTCTTTTCCCTAGAAGGCCTTTTGAAACATTCTTTGTTTTATGCAACAAGAATTCTCAGTCTAACTAAAAAGCCAGTTTCCAAGATCCATACTACCGAAATGAATGCACAATGTGTGCATATAACACAGTATCCCAGTGTACTACAGTGATTATTATATGGACATTATAATTTTTAAATGACAGCTAATTGTTAAGGGTGCTTGGTATTAGAATGCAAGTGACCATAAGAATTGCTCTGGAGAGTTTACAGGTAAGAAGGGGGTATGTGGGCTTCCCAGGCTGGGGTTGCTGGTTTTCTCCAATCAGGGAGTCCATCTTCCCACTGTAAGTACAGCACACCCCCTGGGTGCCAGCATAGCATGACACAAGGGAGCAGGAAGGAAGGGGGTGCCTTCTTCAGTGTAACTCACCCTACCTGATGTAATTAATTACATATGCTCACGGCAGACCACAAAACCAGGCTCCAGAGAATGTAACCATTTAATAACAGAGAATCTGGGCACAAGAGTTACCCTTTCATTAGGTGCTTCAACGCTACATCCTCCAGACTCTCTAAAGTGCATTTTGTGAGTTGCCCTGGAAAATATATCTACATTAAAATTGAAAACTATGTGGATATATAGATAAAAGAGGTTGTCACATATGGTTCAGAAAAAAAGATAAAATTTAATTTCTGATATTTTTTTGACCAGCAAACACAGCTTTCTAAATTAGGTTCCGTTCAAATATTTATTATGAGACATGTCTTCTGGTAAAACCAGGTAACTGCATGTTTTAAAATACCTGGATATGGCTTATGATGTCACAGGCACCAAAAGAAATTCCATAGGTGTCTAAAAGAAGGCAGGGCACATAACAACAGCTGGAAACAATGGGTAATGCCAGGATCCTACGGTGCCTGCCTAACTTCTCTGCAGCAATGGCAGCTCTGGGAAAGTGGCTAAGTGATATCATTACTAAGTGCCCCTTCCCATGGGCAGGGCTTGCCACCCTATGAGACCGGAGTGTGCCAGCTCACACTGTTGTGGATTGAAGGATGACCACTTGAAAACAGAAAATGTTCAGTAAGTCCAAGTCCAGCTTAGAGTTGCAGATTCTCAGGCTATGAGATGGTTGATCCTCAGAACAGAACTTCATGAACTGACCTAACTTAGAAAAGTGCCAGAGACACCAAGTTCAACCCAATTGCCATGAACAAACAGCAATTACATGGAATACGTTAAACTTTTGACTTCAGACAAAAAAATTAAAAGGTAGGAATACAATAGATTCAGTACCATCTTTGTTTTATAATTATTTTTTTCCTACGTAGACGCACTAAGGTTCTGTTAACTGAAACGATTGCATAGCTAGGTACCAAAAGCTCGCTAATGCATAGTAATCGATAAGAAACTGAGGAATTTCTAAAAAATGTCCATGTTCCAGTTATTAACAAGGAGTCGCTACCCATCAAGGTTCAAGTGTTGCAATGTGAAGTACCGACAACACAATGTTGGGATGCTGAGAATGTGTAAATGTCAAACTTGGCAGATTTACTTTGAACAAGAACTCAAACCTCTCTCCCTGGGGTTTAGCCTTGCATCACAGCAAATCTCGTGTGTGTTCTGCAGGATTACTGAAGTACATGGCCTCAGTGGTGGCAAAAGTTTCCTACAAGTACAGTTCGGACGGGCTATTCCACATCAGCAAGGCACTGAGCAGTAGTGACTTGACATGGAGTTCAGTGAGCCTGTTTGAAGGCTTCCAGATAATACATGCACTTAAAACTGAAGTCTGCCAAAACTCAAGGGTAGGTTCAAAGTAGAATAAACCACTTCAGTTCTTCTTCTAACTATAAGAGTTACTAACAAGACTTGTTGCAAGAATACTTCCCAAAATGCACCGCGGGAGAATATCCTATTAAAGTCTGGAGAATCATGCGACAGGAAGCCAGCCATCTCAACTATTTCCAGGTAATCCAAGTGTATTCTCTAGCAGGTGTGAGCCCCATCTGCTAGAGTTGGGTAACTATTCACATTACAAAGTATCAGGCAACAACAACAACAGAATCCCACAACATTCCACCCAAAACACTGAAGACTTGGAGGGAATCAGCTAGAATGGTACAACTTGCAAAGCAGACACATTGGTCTCAACACATTAAACACACCGCTGTGCACTACCGACTTCAGAAGACTGGACAGCTTGCAGCCAGCCACTCCAGTCTGCAGTCTCAGAAACCTGTGTTACCCTAAAAGGACCCTGCGTCTTCTGCAAGGCTGAGGGTTTGGGTTCCTGAGCAAAGTTAAAGTGGAGGTGTGACTGCACCCCAGGACACTGGCGCACAGCTTCCTAAGGCCGTGATAAACAGCTGCTGTCTTGCACCCTTTCCCGAACACTCGGTTGTGCTATGTGGGTGGCAACTTGAAGGTTTCCAAGAACTTTCCGTTTTTGTTTAAGTCAACAGTTCTGGGTTTTGTCCATCAATAGTTCGTTATTTAAAAATAAGGATGGGGGGGGAGGGATTGGGTAGAAGCTAGAATAGTCTCTAAAAAAATGTTGTGAAGTTGGCCCTTCGGGCTTCCCTTGGTTTCTGGAGGTCTTGAGCTGGTGGACCAAGAGATTGGCAGAGGCAGTTGGCACCACACCCCATCAGAGTGACAGCAAGAACCCCTGCATAGTGCCCGAGTTGCTGCAAGAGCCACTGCCTGGGGCCACAGGGACTATTCCTTGGGAGAAATGCTGGGCAAAACCCAAGCCTCACGCTCTGGAAGACCGTAGTTACCACGCGGTAAAGGAAAGCACCTGTGCCCCATGACCCAGATGTTCAAGATAAAAATCAAACCCTGCGTGCTGGTAGCTGTGATGTAAGACAGACGAGGTTGCGGTGCCCAGGGGCTAGTGGTGTCCACTGTGCCCAGGGCCCAGGGCCAACCCCCGCCCACAAGAGCCACCCGGACAGGGGGACACAAGGACGCGAAGAAAGGAGGGGGCGCTAGGAGAGAAGGGGAAGCAGGGGACCAACCGAAGGGACTCGGGGGTGGCAGAAGAGGGCCTTCAGGGGACCCCACTCACCCGCGCGGGCACCAGTAGGTGACTAGGACGCCCGCGGGGGGCGGCCAGGGACTGCGATCCCTCGGCGCTCATCGCCGCCCACGCGGCTAGGCGCGCGCTTCGGGCTCCGGAGCTCCCCAGTCCAGCGCCTGCAAGGCGCCCGCGCCCCTCTCTGGCTGGGCTGGGGCGGACAGAGCCAGCAGCCACTGCGCTAGCGAGCTGGGCAGGCACGGAACCCCGCCCACCTTCCAGCAGCCCGGCCCCTACTACCCTGCTCACCGCCCACCAAGCTCCGCCCGTTACCATCAAGCCCCGCCTTATGCCCGGTAACCCGGCCCATCAGCTTTGCCCTTCCACCCCCAGTCAGCCCTAGCTGGACTGGATTATGAGAGCTGCAAGAAGGGTTCCCACCTCCTTGCAGGGACCATCACTTTCCCACCTTGGCCAGCAAAGTGCAGAGCTGAGGCAGGATAACAAGCGCGCTTCCCTTAGGGCTGGAAGGCCAATGGCACCTTGGCCATTGGGAACTAGGGCACGATTCCCAGTGGACTCTGGTGACAGCATCACTGGTACTTACAGATGTTTTGTGACCACTTCTACTGGCAAAGCTTCTCAGATTCCGAGTGTGGCAACGCTTTGTCCTGACAACAGCCTTGGGTCCCTCCCTCTGGTCTTTGCGGATCTCTACACCTTAACCCAGTTAGCAAACTCCAAGACTCACTTTCTGGAGAAAAAGCATACTAAAGTACCAAGTCCTTCCACCACAGTGAACTCCATTCCTTGTGTCCCTCTCTTGGCGTCTACTTAGGCCTCAGTCCCCAATCACTGTGAGGGCTCTTTCTGATGTTCAAGGCCCGGGTCCCAATTCCATCTGGCCTCCCACACTTTCCAAAAGGGTTCCAGCTTAGTCACCAGTCTCAGTTAAGAGTTTCTCGTGTTTCATCAGGTTTGTGTCAAAAGAAAACAATATTTGGTTTAATAGATTCACACCATCCTAGCATAAATGCAAATGAAAACTAGTTTGGGTTAAAAGACTGCGCCTGCCTGCACCCTCGCCAGTGGCCTGCCAACACCTGAGTAAAAAGCAAACCTGTATTTTCCTCCTTTTTCAGGTCGTATGCCCCACCCCTATGACTCACAGGCAGGCATGCTGGGATGCTCGTGTTGGCTATACTGCTGCACTATTAGGGAAACTGGGAAGTCTAATGTGTGGATTTCATATGACCCCTGATGGACAAGCAGATGTGGAACAAACCATTTACAACTGACGACTAAAGCCCTGGGTCTGTGACACAGAAGCAATGTGTTCCAGACTCCCCAGTCTTATTTATCCTCAGACTACAATTCTACAGCTTTGGTTCATGCTTACACCCATCCCTTTATCCTTATCCAATATAAAATGCGTGCCTTAAATGACTGGACAATGAATATTAAGCAATCTAGCATAAGCATGAAATCATGCAACTCACTTGAAGTTGTATTTAGAAAAGCATATGATTTCAATATCTGAGAAATCAGAGCTCTAAAGAGACTTTTACCTAAATTAAAAAGGGAAGGTTCACCCCATAGTCTGAAGGAGGTACAAGCAATTGGTTATATATCATGTTAGAGTTGATAGACTGGATATTAGTTCAAATATTGCAAGTAAATAAACATGGGCATCTTTTGATGAATCTGAGCTAATTATTAATTTGGTAAATACTTTGTCTTTCTTGGTGCTCAATGGAGCCCTATCCATGCCCATTCCATGATCCTTAATCCAGCATACTCAACATGTTCTAGGCTGCCTTCAGAAGCTACACAATTCAGGTTTTAACTGTAGTAGCTCGATTTTGTTCATTCGGTGCTAGGGCTGCTCATAAGAGTTGTGTTGCTTCACTTCCTAAACAGTATGGCCTCAGTTCATAAAAGTAACGGGCAAACACTGACGATCCAAAAACCCGAGAGGGGCTATGGGATGCGAATTGCCTGCAGTTTGACTCAGAAGTTTCCATGGTACATGTAGAGTTCTTTCTGAAATGCACTCAAGAAGTGAGTTGTTGTCTCCTCAACTATTAACTTAATCTCAGATTAACAGAAACATTGTAAAGGCAGCACACAGCCGTCATGGCAAGGAAGTCATGACGGTGGATACCTAGGTGGAGCTGACACATTGCATCTACAGTCAGGAAACAGATATAGGTGACTATTGGTGTTTAAGTCAGTTTCTCCAATACATGCATTGCTGCCACCCACATTCAAGATGGTGCCACCTCACTAACCTAGAAACTCCTTCCCCCACATGCCCAGATGTCAGAACACAGCCCAGCAGTGGAGTCCTGTGAGGAGAATTCTGAGAGCTTGTGAGACACCCTCGTAAAAACAAGGCAAGCATCTTCTAACCTCAGTTTCTTCAAAACAGAATTTGTTTTTGGAACGTGTTTTTGTACTCCTCCCAGCTGTATAGGGTAGAAGTGAGTTTACTTCGATTACTCAGTATTGGTTGCTGCGATTATTTAATTCAGTTATGCATCTATGGAAAAACCATGGTTTTTTCACAGGTAGATTGTCTCTGTGGCTACACACAGCTTGAACTTGTGAGAACTTCAGTCATGTGACCCTTCTTAACCCTCCGAGTATACATTGTCTGGGGCTCTGAATAAAGTTGGCTGTCACATGAGACTAGTTCACCCCGTTTATTGGCTTCATTCCTCCAGGTCCTACTGCCTCTAGGGCAGGGACACCCAAAGTCTCTTGGGTGGTTCTACATCCCTCCAAGTTGACACTTGGTACTAACTATAAGATATGATCATCCCACTGGTAGGCAGTAGAAAGGGGGAGGTCAGGGAGTTTAGGTCCTACTGTCTACATCAGAGGGAAACACCCAGTGTCTGAAAGACCAACCGTTAGGCCTGCCTAAAGTGCTTTGGGTGGTGTAGAGACACAGGCCTCGGAGAATATTCAAAATGCCTCTTAGACACATAGGCCTGGGGAAATATTCAAAACCCATCCCTGTGTATGAAGCTTATGTCCCAAAATCAGAAATGTTTGCTAACATAGCAAAGATTAATTAAAATAATACAGATTTTCCTAATAACTACCACTCTCTTTTTTGCTTTCTTTGTCTTTAGGTCCAGCTTAGGTTCATGTGTTACTATGCCAAGGTTTGCTTTAGTCTTGATATTTTGAGTTTGTTTCAATTCTCTTCTTTGCTTGATTCATTAATATACATTTTCAGGAATATTGTAATACATCAGACTAGAAGGCATGATGCTAAATCTGCCCTAAGTCTCATCATGTTAATTAAACCACTAGGTTAAGTTAGTGACTCCAGATTTATCCACTATAAAATTAAGTAAATCATATTCTAAATACTAAGTAGTACATTTCTGACCATAAGCATGAATTGGGTTACCCACACTGAATTGCAATACCTCAAGAATGAGTAACTGTCTCACACAGTATTTGTGACTCAGGATCTGAGAGTTATTGGCCATGAAGGTCTTCTGGGATCAGATGGCCCTGGAATCATGTTCAGGTCTCAATCCCTCTCCTCCAGGGAATGCATGTACAAGGTAGCTGATCTCTCTCAGAACAAGCAATAAGATGTAACCTCCAGCTGTTATGTGGCCTAGCTTCAGAAAGTACTGCCATGTAGAAAGATTGTGGGCTATTCATGGACACCCTCCAGTCCCTGTGTGAAGACACAGAGATGTGAGTACCAGCAGGAATGAATCTTATAACAGGGGCTATGATGTCACATGTGTGATAAGTGGTGATCCTTAACTATGTCTATCATTGCTGTCACAGATTCATCGTGCCTGCGCGCGCGCGTGTGTGTGTGTGTGTGTGTGTGTGTGTGTGTGTGTGTAGAAGGCTATGCACAGGAGTTATTTTGATCACTTGAAAAATTCTTTGACTTTTTGCTCATCAATTTTATTATTCCCATCTTTTTACGGGCTTAATTTCTTGAGTTCTTTATATTTATTGGGAAGGATATTCAGCACATTAATTTTATCGTTCCTATTTTCATAAGCTGTCCATTCATGCTACAGCTTCTTTCAAGCTTAGTTTTGGTATTCTTTATAACTTCATTAAATTATTCTCATGACTATTTTAATAATTTTGGTTTTAGTGTCAAATTTAAGCTGACAAAACTTCCATTTACTGTGTTTTATATTTCTTTTCAACTAAACAGGTTTTATTGTTTTCTTTTTAACAAGTCAAAACTCAGTCATACTTGTCAATTGTCAGTTTTTCTGTCTCTAGCCACTTTTTAATCTGATTATCTTCTCATTAACCAAGAGTTATAATAAGGTCCTGAACCCAGTTTTGGCTCTGTGATTTTGAAATAACATTAGCTTACATGAGATATTCATTATTATATTATTGGCCTCGTGGAGAAGCTTGTGGGCATGAGCTTTCTCAGAGAGACAGAGGTTGGCATAATCCCCAGTATAGGAGGTGCCACCATGGGCCACACTGGAGTTGGATAATAGTGCAAACTGATCTGTGGCTCAGTAAGGGCATGGGATGAAGCTCCTGTGAGGCCCTAAAACTCCAGAGACAGGGAAGCTAAAGTATTGCACATTGTTTCCATGGAGGGCATGAACAGGATGTCTTTGGCTGTGTTGAATAATCAGATGGAGAGGAGAGAGACTGGAGTACTGAGGGTGACCCACCTTCTTGAGAGCTTGTGGGATGGTGGGGGAGGGGGCAGAGATAAGTTAGCAAATGACACTGACTTTGTGCTTTCTATCTCCAAGTCTTTAGATGCAGGTATTTAACAGAGAAACTGAAGAAACTAGAAGAGTAAAGGGGATGATGGACTGTGTGGGGAGGACAGTAGAGTTATTTGAAGGAGTAAGTGGGAAAAACAGAGGGGTAGGGCTTTATTTAGGGAGCAGGGAGAAAGAGAAATACAGGAGAAGGAAAGAAGCCTGTAAGACAACACTTGAACTGTCTAGAAAATCTCACAAGGAATCACACTATTAACTGTCTAGCTAAAACACCAGTAATACATGTAGTCATTGCATAAACATACAGACATAGCTCTAACAAAACTTTTCCATCTGGGCTGATAGTGTCCCCCAAAAGAGCCATAGACTAACAGAAGCCGCCAAAACCAGTAATAAGAAGCCCTTTATGACTTGTTGAACAGAGTTATTTTTCCAAGAGACCTCCTGAAATTATAGGCTATTACTATTG